CTACGATTACTACTACTACTGCTACTACTGCTACTGCTAACAACAACAATTACTACTACTACTACTACTACTACTACTACTACTATACTACTATACTACTACTACTACTACTACTACTACTACTACTACTCCTTCTGCTACAACAACAACAACAACTACTACTACTATACTGCTACTGCTACTGCTACTGCTACTGCTACTGCTACTACTACTACTACTACTACTACTACTACTACTCCTACTACTATCACCACTACTACTACTACTACGACGACGACGACGACGACTACTACTACTACTACTGCTGTTGTTAAGTGTGTCGAGTGCTTCTGCTAGAACAAGAATAGGAATAGAATGCCTTGCAGGGATACCTGTACACACAGTCATTGTTGCCGTCCTGGTTGTCGTGACGTTTACAGTGAGCGTCATCATCAGTTTCGTCTACAACACCACCATCATCATCATCATCATCATCATCATAACCATCATCATCATCATCATCATCATCACCATCACCATTGCCAACATCATCATTGTCATCGTCATCGTCATCGTCATCGTCATCGTCATCGTCATCGTCATCGTCATCATCATCATCATCATCATCATCATCATCATCATCGCGTTGATCATCGTGATCATCGTCGTCATCGACATCGTCATCCTCCTCCTCCTCATCATTATCACCATCATCACCATCGTCATCTTAATTTTCATTCTTTGTCCAGTGTTTGCCGTCTCCCGCCATTGCGCTTCGTCCCCGCTCTCCTCCTCCTCCTCCTCCCCTCCCCCTTCTCCTCCTTGTTTTTCCTCCTCACCGTGTCTGCAGTTCATAGCAGATTGGCAGGAAGAACTGCAGCAAGAGACGCTGGCACTCGCAACATCTTGGCTCACATTAGCTTGAGGGTGTGGGACCAGTTTTGGCGTTTACGGGCATCCCCGTTCAGACTCCTCGCTGCACGCAGGACTTCGCATCAAAATAATCAATATCCACGACACCCCGAATGTCGAACAGTGCTTCAACAAGGTTTGTCTGTAGACTAGGTTTTTTATTGCTCTCCTTTTTGCGCTTTGCGGTGTCACTTTTCCTGCTTAGGGTTGATTGCTGTGTAGCGGCTCGCACGGTGTCAAAGTTTAACAAATCCCTTCACGCAGCATGGCAATCGATCCGAATGAGGGTCCGGGACTTGAAATGTCAGCGTGCTCAACATGTGACAGTGTGAGATGTGGGTAGGTCGGGGATTTCCGACACAGACGGACAGACCCACGGGCATGATCGACATTCGTGCACATCAACGACATTCCAGACCCCCATCGGTTCTTGATACGGATGAGCCCGATCACTGACCCGCCTCCCTCGGCTTCACCTCTTCCTGCAGGTGAATCAGCCGTGAAGGCCATCACCCACAAGGACAGGCGAAGCTCCCCAGCTGCAAGATCAGTAACACTGCTTTAGGCCTTTAGGTTCGTGGGCTTTTGGTTTAACACAGGGGCCGGAGTAGTTGGTGATATCATTGAATCAGTCCTTAGGGCATAACTAACAGCGTTGTACTATAAAATGCCCCACCCTAGACCCTAAACCTAAACCCTAAACCCTAAACCCTAAACCCTAAACCCTCAAACCCTCAAACCCTAAACCCTAAACCCCTGCAAGTGTTAAGGCGCCTTTATTGCCAGCGGCTGGCTCTCAAGTTGCACAGCCCCGGTCTGATAGGCATTTTTGGCTTGATTAGCTCGCGAAAGCATGACTCTACCCAGCCATTTCTAGTCTCCCCGAAAAGGTACTTCTGCCCTTTAGAGAGGTTCAAAACCCTAAACCGTAAACCCTAAACCCTAAACCGTTCAATCCCTAAACCCCTTGAACCCCGTCAGCCCGAACACGGAAACTCTGTAACTCTCCCCGAACCGCCTAGGCCCCCGTAAACCACCCGAAACCATCTAAACCCAAGTAAAGTGTCGACTTCGAATTGCCCTGAATCCTCTTCCGGTATAGGGTTTGGAGCTGTAGAGCTCCTCTGAACTCTCATCTCCCGAAAAAAGCCATGACAAACATCTAGAAAAACCCTGATGACATCTAATCGAACCCCCAAACAAAGACCTTGCAGAACCCTAAACCACGAAGCCCCTAGGCCCTAATCCCTTAAGCCCTTGCCGACGCTCCTGAGCCCCCTGCAAAGACCCTCCGCGCGCTTTTAGTCTGCTGGTTTAGGGTTTCGGGTTTAGGGTTTAATGTAGGGGCCTAAATAATTACCTATACTATGGTGGGGTTCCTTATTATACCTATAGTCTAGTGGGCCCCAAAACCCTATTCCAATTATTAAGGCCCCTATGTTAGGGTTTAGGGTTTAGGAGTTTACTTAGAGGATCATGGGGCTTAGTAATTAGGGTTATAACTCAGGTAACCATACTTATAATTATTTATAACCCCACTTCAGGTACTTATAACCCTACTTACTAAGTCCCATGATCCTCCAAGTAGCAGCAGACACGCCTTGTAAGGCCCCTATGTTATACCCTTATAGTAACCCTTTACAGAATCTAACAAAACCCTTTTAAAGGAACCCCTAAATCCCTAAGCCACATTGAGGGTTTAGGGTTTAGGAGTTTAGGGTTAGGGCTAGGATGGTTCAGGGACGGGGTCGAGTGCTCCTCGGAGTTAGAGCCCGAAGCCTACTAGCGGAAGGACCTGAAATCTTTAGGGTCTAGGGTTTAGGGTTTTAGGGTTTAGGGTTTTAGGGTTTGGGGTTTAGGGTTTAGGGTTGAAGGACCTGAATCTGTAGAATTAAGTCAGGATTTTCAGCGGCTTCACCGGCGTTTAGGAGAGTGTTTTATAGCGTTTGATAGGCTTTTGTGTAGGTACCCGGGGGGTTGTGGGGATTTTAGCATATAGTTATATGGGGACTGCCAGGGAACACGATGCTTATTCGGACCTCGATATGTACAGTTTCCGCTTAAATCCTCTAAGCCGTAAGCCCCAAACCCGGTTTTTCCAGGCCAATGGGTTTAGGCTTTCGAGGTTTGGGGTGTAGGGATTAGGGGTATGGGCTGTAAGGTTTTTAGGGGTCCGGGCTAGAGGCTTCAATGAATCAGGCTCTGTCTTCTTGAAGGCTTCTTGTTGGAAGAGCGCGGTTTAGGGGTTCGGGTTTAGGGGTTTGGGGGTTTAGGGTTTAGGGTTTGGGGCTTTAGGGTTTCGGGTGCAGAATCAAAGTCTCTACACCAAAACCTACAACAGCGCCACCTCAAGAATCACCAAGGCTCTTCCTCAGTGTTCCTGAGTATGGTTATGAATGATAGTACACACACACACACACACACCCCAAAGCCGTATTCCAAGCATCAATGCCCGTTCAAGCACCTGAATCCCAAATCGGTAGATCGGTCTCGAGGCCAACAGAACGGTCGCGGACGTGGCGGCAAAGGTGCAGGCCCAGACATTTAGATTTGGACGTTGGAAAAGGCATAGGATTGAGGATGCGGAGTTGGGTGGCTTGACGCCTAAACCCCCTAAACCCCTTTAATCCACTCCCCCAAAGGTCCCTAAACCCTAAACCCTTAACCCGCCATCCGGTACACTGGCGAGAGCTGTACTTGAAGGGTCATGGGCCATGGGTAATTGTACTTTGGCTCAGAAGTATCTCATCGGGGCTTTTGGGTTTGGGGTTACGCTACACATGGGCTCATCAGCACCATTGGGGTCTTAGCACGTAAGTCTTGATATCATACCTTACTTGCATTCCTACTACTTAACCAAGCCTCCTGACCCTGGAATGCCCTATGAGCCCTGAATCAAAACCCTAAATCCTAAACTGGCCCTAAACCTAAATCAAAACCCCAAACCTAAGGCCAAAGCCCTTGAAACCCTGAGAGACTATACCCAGATCCCAAACCACAAGACCGTAAACCCTAAAGCCCCGACCAGGAAATCCTGCACCCTAAAGCCCGAAACATTAAACCCTGAACCCTTAAACCCCTCAGCCCCTAAACCCCTAAACCCCAAGCCTCATTCCATGAATTCCCAAGCCCGCCCACGCCGGTTCGCCTGGGTCCTCGGTGCGGAACGTAGTTTTGAGTTACAGAGATGAGGTAGTATACTGCTTGCTGTATGTTACATCCATGATGTGGTAGCTTACGTCAAGCACCCTAAACCCTAAACCCTAGACCCTAAACCCTACACCCTAAACCCTAAACCGTACGACCCCGATTCGGAATTTTCTGCCAGACCTGAAGGCCAATACAATCCGCAGAAAAGGCCGCAAGGCCGTCCGGTCGTGTGTTGATTGTGGATTTAGGGTTGAGGGTTTAGGGGGTAGGTAGAGGACTTAGTGTTTACTTGGAGGTTCATGGGTAGTTATAAGTGGGGATATAAGTAGCGTAACTATAGTTATAACCCATCTTGGGGGGCTTATTTCCCTACTTGTAGCTACCCATGAACCTCCAAGTAAACCCTAAACCCTAAACCCCAAAAGAACCCTTAAAGGAACCCTAAACCCTATAGTACCCTTTAAAGGGAACCTTAGTATATAGCTACCCATGAACCTCCAAGTAGGGGATTCGGCTTTGCAGGATGTGCTGGCGTTCGGGGTTTGGGCTCTCAGGGATTCTCTGGTGTTCTTGTCTGGCTTGAGGGTTTTTAGGGTTTAGGGTTTAGGGTTAAGGGTTTAGGGTTGCTGGCGCATTTTTTGGGGGGCCAGCCAAGGGAAAAAGATATGGAGAGCCTGGGAGCAAACGCAACCAGGCCACTGCAGGAAGTGTGAAATACGTGTAAAAGGCAAAGGCGCATGACATGAGCATGAAGCGTCCCAATCCGGGACGGAGGGGTTCTCACTCATACTCATTTTTCCAAGGGGGAAAGCGCAGATTCCAGAAATTTGTGCCTTCCTTGTGAGCAAACCATTCGGCCCAAGCTAGGCGAAAGGGGGAAGTGGGTGGAGGTGCTCGTGTTTTTTGCACGCATATGGCGTTGTGCTGGGGGAAAACATGGATTCCGGGAATTTGCGGTTTGAAAAAAGCGACAAAACACGTGTGCAGCAATTATGAAGTGAATACGAACGGTCCGAACCCTGGCCACGTAAACGAAGAGGTGGGTGGAGGGGAGTTTCGTAGTCATTCCATATTTTCATATCTGTATATATATATATATATATTTAGGTTATGTGGCACGCGCGCAGTAAATGCCTCGCATGTTGTTTGTACTTTTCCAACCTATTCCTGGGAACCTTACTTGCAGGTTCATGGGTTGTTACAAGTGGGGCTATAAGTTCCCTAATCTGGGTTGGAGTCATTGTTCACCTACTTACAACCCCCTTGAAACTACCCATGGACCTCCGAGTAGAGGTTGCTCCCAGGTAGCCCGTTGCCTCTGGAAGCGGGTTTAGGGTATGATGAAGAATCAAAATTGACCCGGACTTTAGGCCCCAAGCCCGAAAACCCTCTGCCTAGCTACTACTGCCCATGATCCATGACGAAGAGCCTCATGCGTCAGCACATCGGGTCCCTAAATCCCTAAACCACAAACCCCTAAACCCTGAACCCTAAACCTTCTGGTAAGCCCCAGATCCAGCCCCTTAGTAGCCGAAACGCCAAGAGGTAAATCAATCCGACGTTTGCGTCCGAAGCTCGGTGAAGCCGAAACCTGAAAACCTAAGCTAAAGTTTAAGCCTGAATCAAGATCTTCAGTACTTGGTTTAGGGTGTGCGGGTTTAGGGTTTAGGGCTAAATGAGCCCGAAACCCTGAAGACGCTCAACCCAGCCCTAACTGAAACTGAATCGGCTTTCATGCCAGTGGGTAGTATTCTTAAGGGTACCCCTTAAAGGGTACCCCTTCTGAACCCTACTTTTGGCTCTCTTACAAGGGACCTTATTGAGAGGGTCTATATCCCCAAGGGTCCCCCTAATCCTAAACCCTAAACCCTAAACCCTAAGGTGGGTTTAGGGTTTAGGGTTTAGGGTTTGTGTTCGGACTGTCGGGAGCGATTCAGGGTTTCGGGTTTAGGGTTAGGTTTAGGGTTAACGGTTTAGAGTTTAGGGTTTGGGGTTTAGGGTTTGGGGTTTGGGGTTTGGGGTTTAGGGCTTTAGGGGTCAGGGTTTAGGGTTTCGGGGCCACAAATGTGCTGTAGGCTTTAGTATAGGGCTTTGGGTTTAGGATTTGGGGTTTGTGGCTTAGGGTTGAGTTTAGGGGTTTCCGCGAAGGGTTTCAGAGGGTTTTACCTACAAATTGTGCTGCGAACAGTGAACTTTGGGTGTTGGTTCTGATTTTTAGGTTCAAGGATTCAGGTGCTGTTTACCTTCTGCAGAAAGCATATTCTATCACTACAGGGTCTACAGTCTATAGGGCTTGGGTTATCATTGTAGTGTCTATCGTTGAGTACAGGGCTCATGGGCTGTGTTGTGTTGCGCCCCAAAGTATCTGTCGTGCGGTCCGTGGTTCACTGCCTTGGGCTTGGTGGGGCTGGACCAACAATGAGCTCTGGATTGAGGCTTAGAGATTGGAAGTTGCCTTTTCAGATGAGGTGCGGATGCTTGTTCGGTAGAGCTGGTATTCGCGAAAGAGCTCCATGCCTTTCATGACCAATGTCTTCGGTTGCATATGGATAGTTCTCTAAATGAGGGTCTCTTTAAAGGGTCTTTTTGTTTTAAGGGTGCCGCATTATATTGGGGACTTACAAAGGGACCCTAATGTAGAGAACTACCCATATGATAGTCCATTTTACAAGCGAAACCCTATTTAGAAAATTGATTCCCAGGATCAAGGCTATGCGGCTACATTTTCGACTCCAACTTGGGCGGTAGAAGTCGGTACTTGTCCTCGAGCGCGGCTTGCGGCATACAAGTTTCGAAACCCTAAATCCTAAACCCTAAACCTTAAACCCTAAGCCCGAAACCCTAACCCCTAAAGCCCTAAACCCCAAACTCTAAATCCTAAACCTTACAATCGTGTGAATCTGACACCCAGCAGGTCATGGGTACGGATGGTGGCGAGAATAGCTTTTACCTGAAAGACAAGGCCTGTTTTAGGGTTTGCCGTTTAGGGTTTCGTGCTTGCAGAGTAACGTGTTGTCTCGGAGTTTCATAATATCAGGGTGTTCACAGTATAGTCCCGAATTTCCGATTGTTGCATTACCACTCACAAAGACTCGACAAAGCAACCTATAGTTCAACACAGCCCATACGCGCTACAGTTCGCAGCAAAGCACATGAATGGTTATCACCGTGCGACAACATTGTTTAGATTGGGAGCGCGGTGCGGTGAGGGCATAGGAAAGTCTGTGAGCACATCGTTTGGGTGATATTCGCGGGGAATGATACTAGACAAAGCCCCCTAAACCCCAAAACCCTAAAAGTTCTTTGCAGGAGTTCCGGCAGCAAGATCATCGTCGAACACAGCCTGACACCCCACGATCTTCCCCAGAGCCCAACAATCTTCTAGGGGGTTTAGGGTTTAGGGTTTATTCCTGAACCCCCCCCCCCCCATTTCACCCAAACACAAAACGAACAATGAAACACCTAGCGATCCGAAATGAGGGTTTGGTGTGTAGAGTTTTGTGGTTTGGGGTTTCTTATAGTTATAGTATAATGTACACCGAAACCCTATTCTAATTATTAGGGCTCCTATATTAGGCATTGATGCCGGCATTTATGCCCGAAGAGAAGAAAAACCCAAGTCCGAATCCCACATGTGGCACCCTGGTCCTTATAGATCCTGAACACTCTGCCAGCCCAAAGCCCTGATACAGCCCTAAGGGTCCCAGTACCACATAATCAGATACTCTCCCAAAGATTAACTTAGATAACTACTATCCGCAATCACAGTACCTTATTATCGGGTCCTCTGGACCCTTAGGCTGGGGGCCTTAACAACTACCTATACTCTGTTTTTTTGGGGTGGGGGTTCCTTGTCATATACCCCCCAAAACCAAAGTCTAATTATTACGGCCCCTACATTGCCCCTTCCCTAGAGTCCTCTATAGGCCCTAAACCCTAAACCCAGAATATAGGGGCCTCTGAAGCTTTAGAATAGGGTTTGGGGTACATTATACTACAGTTATGATAAGGAACCCCCAGAAGCCTATTGTAACTATTAAGGCCCCTACATTAACCCCTAAACCCCTGAAAGACCACAGCCCTTGGTGGCCTCAGGTGAAGAGCACCAACGCCGTCGTCATGTCCCGCATTCGGCGCCTCTGAACGGCTCCTAAAACCCCTAGCCAAATCCCTACGAAGGTTTAGGGTTTAGGGGTTTAGGGGTTTAGGGTTAGGGGTTTAGGATTTAGGGGCTTAGGGCTCAGGGTTGAGGGGGTTTAGGGGTTTAGGTTTAGGGTCTAGGGGAATAGGGCCTACGAGTATAAACACCTAAGAAATTGACAATGCCGTTTCCGAAGAATAATGAATACGGGAAACAATCATAGCTTGTAGTAGCCACTAATAGTAATATTATACTAATACTACTATGGATCTCACCAGTAGTAAATCAACAAACAAGTAACAGGTAAATAAAGAAAGCATAAACTATGCCTTAGGTTTTCTAACATAATGTTACTAGAGTCACACCCCAACAGGTTATTCGAATGATGAGGGCCTTTGTGCTATTGTCAGGGGCGGTCAACCCAACCCTAAACCCCTGTCGACGTATATTTGCCTAAACCTGAGGCCGACATCTCCGTCTTAAGTATGCTTTGGCGTTCAGGGCTTAGTTAAGGTTTGGGGCTTAGGGTCTAACCTACCTTCTTTAACCAAGGACCTGTATCAGGAAATCAGGAAAACAGGAACCATAAAAAGGCAAGTTATGCATATGATGTCGGGTTCAGGTAACCCAGGCACCCAAAGCCCCAAACTCTAAACCCCGACACCCTAAGCTTACCCCCTTCAATGAAGCCCTTAGACCCTAAACCCTAAACCGGGCGCTTTCAAAGTTCAGGGGGCTCCCCCGGTGCTCGATGTGTTCTCTTGCGGTGTGCACGGCAGGGGCTGGAGACAACGTCTCAGTCGTCGGAGTGTGCAAGAATGCCCTAACACACACACACNNACACACACACGCACACACACACATGGTATAAGGGCCTTAGAATTACCATAGGAAGATAAGTACTTTCTAGGATTCCAGTTCGAGGTAACCGTAGCACAATCTAGGCTACTCAAAAGCACTTTCTCAATTATCAGGGCCCCGATATCTATCACTCACATCGACTTGTGGGAAGCTAATTTAAGGCATGCGTAGCTTCCTGAGACATAGGTTCCCGGATACATGAAAACGTTCTCCAATGTTGTGTTCCTACCTGAGACCCTCAACGTTCGACCTGTGCTAGCTTTGCAGAGCCAGGGGGGTGTAGTATAAGGGCCTGAAGAATGGTCATGAACAGTTTGCAATGCTTATTGTATAGTTCGTTTACACTGTAGCCCAGAACCCTGTTTGCAATTATTACCCCCCCCCCCCCCCCCTATACCGGAGGAATTACGGTTTTCGGGTTAGGGGTTGCGGATTTAAAGTGTTTCGGGTTCAGGGCTGAGTAGGGTTGGTACACAGCAGCCGCACATCCGCAGTTTGCCAGACTGATGCGTTTGAGGACTGGCTCCTGCTCCCTGGTTCGCAGCCAGCAGCGTGACACCATATGCCGGGCTGGGCTAAAGGTTCTGTGGCATTTAGTTCCGAATGTCCTCTTAAACCATCAACACCATAACCACGGTCATCATCATCGTCAGCAGCAGCAGCAGCAGCAGCAGCAGCAGCAGCAGCAGCAGCAGCAGCAGCAGCAGCATTGTCATCGTCGTCATCGTCATCATCAGATCACCATCATCAGCATCATCATCAACATTCATCATGCTCGTCATCATCATCATCATCATCATCAGCATCACCGTCATTATCATAACTTTCTCCGTTCCTCACCGTGAGCATCATCTATATGGCATTGTCGGAATCACACTATGGCTTGGAGTGTCTTTAGCCGAACTGTAAGGTTGCTATAGGAACACCACAACAGCTTTAATTGACAAAGACAACGCCTCAACGCTGAACCCTAAACCCCCGAAAAAAAAGCGAAAGGAAAATGCAGAGTCCTTCCTGCGCCACGCCCGGAATGGCAACAGTATATTTCAGTGCCCTCGCTGCCGGGGCAAGCGTAGATTGGGTTTAGGGTTTAGAGACTTCGGAACTTCATCGATCTGTGAACCTATGTCTTGGATTTATGAGGACAACACGTTATAGCATGTAAAGCATCCGGACAAGTGAGCATGGTTATCGGTAGGTAAGTGTATACTGTATACGTATAGCTTATTATAGCTGCTTGTAGTCTCAATCACGCTCCCTGCATGATGACTTCATGAAAGTGCAATCCATGCTGTTGCTTGCTTGAGCAGCTTAGAGAAATCATTTTCAGAAAAGGATTAAATCTGCCAGCCGGAATTGGTTCCTGGAGCATCGATAGCACGTAGAGGAACCAAGTCTAGAGCTTGAGGTCACTTACCCTTAGCATCAAAGTAGCCCAGAAGCCTTATATAATAGGGTCTTTGGGCCCAAAAGCCTTAAAATATGAGTCCTTTGAGGGTAAGGGTTAGAGATACTGCTTGCCCCGACGTGAGGCCTCGAAGCTCTGAGAGAAAGAGCAAGCGGCGAGCTCTATCGCAGAAGAAATGGAAAAGCCCAGGGGTGAAGTGAACAGTTACCCCAGCCCTCCAGGTACCTACTACAGAGGGTACTAGAGCCTCTAGGGCCCTATAGAGTAGGCACCTGGAGGGTTAGGGTCCGGCTGCGATTCAAATCCTGGCTCTGGACCATCGGACGCAGATCCGGTCTCAAAGTCGCCCCCCGGGCGCCGTCAAGCAGAGACGTGGAGTCCTGATGATTTAAGGACGAGTAGCCCAAACCCAAAGCCCGGTAACTCGGAGGGTTCCGGTTTCTGCGTTTCGGGCGCAGGGGTTGGGCATTGGAGTCGACTCTTTGCAATCGCGCAGGTTGGGTAATGTAGGGGCCTTAATAATTCGAATAGGGTTTTTGGGGTTGCCTATTATTACTATAGTATAGTATACCCTAACCCCTATTCCAATTATTAAGGCCCCTATATTATCTGTCTACTTCCAGTTTCGGCTGCAGGGGGTTTGGGGTTTAGGGTCGATTTCAGGGCCTAGAGATACCAAGACTATTCCTAAGAGTTCTTTACTATGGTTCATCATACCGTGTCATACCCCAAAACCGAATTCGAATTATCAAAGCCCCCTAGAGCGTCGTCTTGAGATGGGAGTTTGGAATTGAAGGGACCCGAGGATGAGGCCGCTAATAAAAAGGAAGATCCTTCGTCTGCGGACCTCCTCATGTGGTAATCTAGGGGCCTAAGAAAGTACCAATACTATTTTGAGCGATGCTTCTTATAATTATAGTAGTATACTAAACCCCCCAAAGCTTATTCTACTTATTAAGGCCCCATATAGTACCTTCATTGGAAGTAGCCCCTCACATGCTATCTTGGCTTGGTTCGAGGGTAGGACCGGGTAGGAGATTCAGGGTGCGCTTGTAGTTCGGGGTTTAGGGTTTGGCGGTTTGGGGTTTATAGGGTTGAGGATTTAGGGTTTGGGGTTGAAGGGCTTTTGGGTTTGTGTGCGGGGTTCGGTTCTGGCTTCAAGCGGAGGCTGCAGAGGCTCAAGCGTTGTATTGCTACCACACGTGCTTCTTCGTGTCGATGTGGTTGGTGCTAGCAATGTGGCGCTCACTAATCGACAAGGACGGGTTCGATCATCATTATAAATCTACCATCGTTAAGCACATTTAAGAGTCATCCTGGCTCCTAGGAGAAAGTGCACCCAAAACCGACTCAGGGCTTGTAGGGCTAAAGAAAAAGGTCTAGGTGTAGGGCCAAGGACTTTAGGTGGACTCTTGCAATCTCAACACCTCGGCGAGATCTTGCCGGCGCTATCTCCGCGTTGCCGCGATGCAAGGCACCGTGGGAGCATGAGCTGGAAAGCCCTAAACCCGAAACCTTCTATCCTCGATCCTCTACCACCCCCAAAACCCGAACCCTAAAACCCTGAAAAAAAACCCTAAAACCTAAAACCCTAAAGCCCTAAATCCAAAACCCTAAACCCTAAAACCCTAAACCCGATGTAGTGTGGTCTTTGGGCCCAAAGGCCTTAGAACCTAGAATATGAGTCCTTAGAGCGGTAAGGAACCGAACCATCCAGAAGATTCCAGCTTACCCAAACAAGAGGAACTGCACTGCAGAGTGTAGGTAGGGTCTGTGAAACAGTAAGGCGACCCAACCCTTTAAGGATAGTTGATATAAGGGTTTAGGGCTTATAAGGGTTTAGGACTTAGGGATAGTTGTTGGTCATGACCAATCAAGACCTTTGGCGTGCGCGCACCGAGCATCAGAGCCTTCGTCAGGCTTGGGTGGCACCGGCGCGCAGCAGTCGAAGGACCATGGGAAGCTGCCAAACCCCTAACCAAGAAACCCTAATTAAACCCTGAAGCCGAAAAGCCCTGAACCCGAAACCGACAAGCCCTACTGTAAACCCTACGTAGACCAAAGAACCCTAAACCTCAATTCGAAAAGCCCTAAACCCGAAACCGAAAAGCCCTAAACCCTAAACCGAAAGAGCCCTAAACCCTAAATCTTATAAGTACTAGAGCGGGCTAAATAATTACCAATACTATTTTGTGGGGCTCCTTATTATAATTGTAGTATAACGGGCCCCCAGACCCTATTCTAATGACTAAGGCCCCT